GCCACGGGGGGAGGGGCGGCTGTTCGGGAGAGCGCAGGTGACCAGGGCATCCCAAAGGGATGGATGGAGCCAAGGGGGAGAAACTGGAGGAGTGTGTGAGGCTGGGGAGAGCGGGGGAGCCTGGCTCCTCCTGTGTCCACCCTCCCCGTGGCTTTCAACGCGGTGCGCTTTGCTGCCGGCGTCTTCCTCTGTGCGTGTCTGCTCGTCCACAGCGAAAGGCTCCGACTATGGACCGGTCGGGCCAGGGCATCCCAAAGGGATGGATGGAGCCAAGGGGGAGAAACTGGAGGAGTGTGTGAGGCTGGGGAGAGCGGGGGAGCCTGGCTCCTCCTGTGTCCACCCTCCCCGTGGCTTTCAACGCGGTGCGCTTTGCTGCCGGCGTCTTCCTCTGTGCGTGTCTGCTCGTCCACAGCGAAAGGCTCCGACTATGGACCGGTCGGGCCGCCCGGCGCCATGCGGACCAGCTTCACCACCAAGCAGCTGACGGAGCTGGAGAAGGAGTTTCACTTTAACAAGTACCTCACCCGGGCCAGGCGGGTGGAGATCGCCGCCACCTTGGACCTCAACGAAACCCAGGTGAAGATCTGGTTCCAGAACCGGAGGATGAAGCAGAAGAAACGGGAGAAGGAAGGGCTGGCCCCCGCGGCCGCCGCCCGGGCGGCGAAGGACGTGGGCGAAGCTTCGGACCAATGCAGTTTCACCTCACCTGAGGCGTCGCCCAATTCGGTTTCCTCCTGAAAGCGGTGCCTTAAGGGCGCAGAACGGGCTCCGGCTCCTTGAGAACTCAAACGAGGCCCACGGGCGGCGGGGCGCGTATACAGCCCGTGTGCCCACTCCCACGCTTTCAACCCCGCTCATAGCCCGCCCAGCTGGGCCCACCCCACTGGCTGTTGCCGGGTGAGCAGAACTGTCCCAGGAGTCGCGAGGTTGGCTCCCCTTCTTCGCTGGTGATTTATGGAGGAATATTGACCTCCGAAGGGGCGGCTGGCTGCGCCTTTCCCCTCCCTTCCTGGCAGGACCTGTTTGTCTCAGGGACTTCCCCCCTCCCCCCAACGCTGGGAATTGCACTTTCAACCAGAAGAAACTTTTGAAAGGAATTTAATGATTTCCATTAAAAAATATGCACAAGGCGCCAGAAATTCGTTGTTCGGTGTAACTCCCCCTCCCTGTGTCTTTTCTTCCTACAGGACCCCCCCTTTTAAACTTTGTCCATCTTGGCGTGAGACCCCCCCTGTTTACTGAGAAGGGGTCCAAGCCCTCTCGCCATCATTTTGCACTATTGCGGCGGTTCAAATGCTCCACTTGGGTCAACTGGAATTGACCACGTCGGCCAAGCACCGGAGAAGAATTCAGGGCCAGGACTCTGGAGGGGTAATTTGGCGAGGGGAGGGAACCCGACCAGGGGCTGGATTGTTCAGTCATCGTGTTGGCCTCAAATGCTATTTATTGTGTATTTGGATAGCCTTAACTCGCAAGAGGAAGCGGTGTTCCTTTCTCTGAGCCGGAGGGAGGGGGGGAATTTAACAACGGGAACTACTGTGTCATTATTCCCCTCTTCAACAAACTTTCGCATGGAACATGAACAGCGCGGAAAGCCCTTGTTTTGGGTTTCGTTTTGCTTTTTGGTTTGTTTTAAGGAGAAAATTACATCGAGGCCCCCTCCCCCTCAACCTTAGAATTTTCCTGGGAATTTCCCAGGTATTTTGACATAAAACTACCTCATTCTAATAAAGTTTAATTTTTCATAGTCTAGTCCTCGTGATTGTTAGTGACGTGGGAACGCCTCACGCCCAGCGAGCCGGCTGAGTGTGAGGGGGTCCGGAGGAGCGTGGGGGCGGGACAGGAGGGAT